TTTTAGAAGACCTGAAGATTCCACGAGAAGAGCCTATGAAACTATATTGTGACAACAAGTCAGCCATCAATATTGCTCACAATCCTGTTCAACATGACAGGACGAAGCACATCGAAATTGACCGACACTTTATAAAAGAGAAACTGGACAACAAGTTGATTTGCACTCCCTATGTGTCTACAAAAGGACAACTGGCCGATGTACTTACTAAAGGGCTCAATAGTATAGACTTTCGGAGAATTATAGCCAAGCTGGGAATGGAGGATCTCTATTCACCAGCTCGAGGGGGAGTGTTGGAAAACGTGGGGTTACTGGTTCAGACCTGAAAATAGAATGTATATATTCGTAGGATTGTGGAATGATTGATTTAGAAAGTTTTTTCTTTCTATTCCTTTCTTTCTATTCTTGTACTTTCTATTTTCTCTTCTTTCTATTTTTTCTTCTTTCTATTTTCTTTTCTTTCTATTTTTTTTTTTCTTTCTATTTATTATAGCAGCTTACTGTATAAATATGCCCATTGGCAATAGAATGAAACACATCAGTATTCTACCATTCCAAAACAGTTAGTATTGCAGTAGGGTTCAACAAGAGTACCTTTGAAAGGTGATCTACAGGAATCCTTTCCCTTGCTGCATTATTGGTGTCCAACACCTGAGACAAATATATACCAAACCCTCATGATCAACAGACAAAAGGATATTCAGAGAAAAAGAATTGTGAGCATAAGTTCAACTTTAAAGTGGAAAACATTGATTACCATAAATAGAAAGTATTGGTTATATTATTGCAAAAAAATCATGAAATGCTTAACATTGCCTAATCTTTTAAAGTATTCAATGATATTTTCAGAAATGATGAACACAGAAGCAATTTAAAATTATTTTATCACTCTAATGCCATATATAGCTAAGAACAAATACCAAATGGATAAAGGTGCATTCTATAGTAAAGGTGTTGAATATCATTTTGTCTTATGACTGATAAAAACAAAAAAAAACATTTTGTCTTATGTTTATATGATATGAAATGAAAGGAATGTCCAAACTACTAAAATCCTTTCCATAATGCGGTACCCAATTATTCCTTCATAGGCAATTAGGAATATAAGATGTTTGGAGATGACCCGTGATTGATTACATTATGCATAAAAATATCAACTTAACAAAGCCTCAGTCCAACAATATGGAGTGCCGGCTAGCTTGCTGGTAAAGCATTTAGCTGATTGCAGCAGAGATCTGGGATCAACGCCTGCCTTCACCAGGATTAGGGGGTCTTTTTTGTTTTTTTGTTGATCAATAACAACTTCAGTAATTTATTAAAGTATGACAGGAATAGTTACATCAAGGAAGACAAACTCTCTTATCTTCCAAAGACAACTTAAGTCCTCAAAGAAAGAAAGGAAAAAAGAAGCAAATTAGTTACAACTTAGCCCAACACATTACATCCCTTTCTATCCCCTGTTTAGCTAGCCCATCAGCTAAAGAGTTAGCTGATCTTTTAACCCAACTCAGCCTGAGTTCCATTTCCCGCACCAGCCACTTGAACTTTCTTTTCTCATTGCTGTACTTCCATAATTCACAGTTGTCTTTCCTCAACCACCCTATGACCACCTCCGAGTCCCCTTCAATTATGAGTTTTCTGACGTCTATTTCCTTAGCTTTCTGAACACCTTCCATGACTACCAAGATCTCAGCTCTAAGAGATTCCCCCACTCCAATTGGACCTGAGAACATGGCTAAAATGACCCCATTCTCATCCCTAAAAACACACCCAATCCCTGACTATCCAGGATTCCCCCTACAACTCCCATCAAAGTTCAGTTTTAGGAATCCAGCAGGTGGGGGTGTCCAAGACACTTTCACAACTGATTTGGACTTCATAGCTTGTAATCTCACTCCACTTCCTTAATCTTGACAGTGTGGCCGGCCAGAAATAAGAGGAAGAGAAGAGAAGAAGAAGAGAGAAGGGAGAAGAGAAGAGAAGGGATTGGCAATGTAACAGTGCTGGCGGCACCGGCTTTTATTATAAAATATATAGGGCGGCAGAAAAAAAAAAGAAGGGAAAAGACCCTTGTGCCCCTGCTATAAGTGAGTACAATAACAGACATAACAGAAGTAAAAAAATAGAAATAAAAAATGCTTTAACTAGCCAAACAGACCCTAACACCAACAACTAAATTATTTCAACACTCCCCCTCAAGTTGGAGCATAGATGTCAATCATGCCCAACTTGTCACACAAATCTTTGTGCCACACATGATGAAGACCTTT